CGTCCGAGTTTGGGCTCAAGCCTTGGCCAACTCGACGGGGTCCGTCCTTGCTCCATGGGCCTCATGCACAGCACCAGCAGCAAGAAAGAGCAAGGGGCAGCCGCGACAGCAGTCGAGTCGTGGTCTGGAGGGCGCATGCCTTGCGCGCCTTGCAGAAGAACGATATAGTTGTCGTTCAGTTCCGTGACGTGCTGTTGCACACATGTCCGCATTGCTCAGCTTGTGAGGTTTTTGTCAACCATGGTGGTGGACCCCTGCCTCTGCTCGGCAAACAACCTGCTATTGCGAAGTTTTTGCAGGGCTACCCACGCTCTCTGCCGAGAGCCCCTGCCGCCATCATCGTTGTGACAGCGCACTGGGAGACCGGCTCTGCACTGAAAGTCACTGCAGCCAGCAGGCACAGCTTGTACTTTGACTATGGTGGCTTTCCCAAGGTCTGCGCTGGGTCCGGGAGATTTTGTGGGGTTTGCCGGAAGCCTCTCGTTTGGGGTCAGGGTGTCGTGGTTCCCACGGCTTGGGCTTCAGGTTCAGGTTGCTGCAAAGACTTCGCAGTCCCCTTTCTTGCAAGGGCCCAGTCTTTCCAGCCAGCTGTTGCTGTTTCATGCGCTTCCGGTTCTGGAACCTCGATCTTACATGTGCGTTGTCGGATTTCTCGGGTTGAGGCGTTTCCAGTCGTGCTGCTTTGCATTGTTCTGCCCATCGCATTGTCACAACGTGTCACACCCCACGCACGTCTTGCATACCATGTCACTGTCTGAACAGTATCATTACTTGGCCGCTATCTGGCAGACCACTGTGCATGAAAGGCAAGGGAACGGTAAAGGCTTAAGCACAAAAGCACAAAGCTGCTTCCCCGATATCTCGAATCCTTCGATCCAGCCAGCCCGATCCGACAGGCTTCCTGTAAAGTATGTTCACGAGTCCGGCCCAAAAGCCTTTGTCAGTCTGTTGGCACGAGAACAAGGTCCGTCGTTTCATGCTTGGTTTTCGTTCATCGAAACGCACCGTCCACCAGCAGAAAGCCACAGCTGGCATGATCTGCGATGTCGCGATTCTTGGCAGGAAAGCTACGAATATCAATATTCTGCTCCAGGGAGTCCTGATCTGGCGCAGCAGATTGTAGGGCTCTTGGCCAAGAAGGGGGTTCAGTGCTCCACTGACGCCGCACGTGGCTGGGATCATGGAGTGTTCGTGCCCATGATGCTGATGTTCCCCAAAGCAACCTGACCAAGCAGATCGGAGTAGCACCACTTATCGGGGTGAGGCCGACAGGTCGATCTTGTGATGCCCAGGCAGGAAGGCAGCCTTTAAGCTTGTTGAGGCAGACATTCCCTTGGTGGCGCTGTCCCTATACAGCAACCAGGCGCGCAAGCCCAAAGTGAAAGCAGACCGGAAGCGTGACTACACGGGATTCTTACCTAACGCCAGGATGCTCGCGCGCACATGGCTGCTGGCGAAGCGCTGCAGCCTTTGCGCGACCAGGGTGTCTTAATTCTGGGTTCTGGGGCGTCTTTCCACAACTTCGACTACTTCTTTGTGCCTGGCCGTCTCAGCAGTTTCTGCCCTTATGCTTGGCCTCTGTGCATAGTCCCTGTCAGCAGCTCACCTGTCGTGAGGCAAGAGATCCTTCAAGGCGACTCGAGGGTGTGAGCCACTCGCAGAAGTTTGATCGCTGGCTCACGGAAACGATGACCTCAGAAGCACTGACCCATGAGGCCGAAACTGGTAGCGTGCCTGCGATGCGAGCGAATGAGAGTGAGAAGTGTGGGGGCATTGGGAGGAGCGCATGGCCCGCCTGTCTGACTGGGCTTCGGCTCCATCGGCCCGGGATGCGCAGCCGCTGGGTGCCGCTGAACATTTAATGCCGCTCTTTGTCGTCGCCGGCGCCGCTGCTAGGCAGAGCATATGTCGCTAACTGAAAGTCTGTCGCATTCTGTCTCACACAGTTATGCGGTTTGTGCGGTTGTCGGGTGTTGCAGGGCGCTGCACGTAATTCCAAGTAAGTACAGGCGCCAAACGTCAGCGACTGCGAAAGCTAATGCTGCTCGAGACTCTTCAGACTTTCAAGCTTCTTTCGTCTTGCCGCGTTTTGCCACTTGTGTGTCGCCTCGCTGTCGCTGGGACGGCGCGATAGGCAGGGCCAAGGCGATGTCGAGGGCCTGTGCGTTCCGCCGACCGGTGCGGTGCGCTAGCAGCGAGCTGCGCCCACCAACAACGAGCTGCCATCCGTGCATGGCACAAAACCAGATTCTCACAGTCCACACACTTCCACGCTGGCGAGATATCGGCATTTCTGCCAGACCCTAGTCGCTGCAGCTTCACCGCCCAGCTTGCACGTTAGCACTACTGTTTTTGTTGCACTCGCCTGGAGCTACGAGGCAGAGTCCCTCCCACATTCCACCGAAACTTCAGCCCGAGTCTTGTCCTACACCCGTACCCGAAGCCTTCACACTAAACACTAAGCCACCTTGTCGATGTTCTAAGACGATCCCAAGTGAAATTCTCCGATTGTGAGAAACCAACCATAGCCAAATAAAGTTGGGTCGGACCAACTGAGTCTGGAAACAATCGAGCGTCAAAACTTGCCTTCCACAGTGCAGTTCTAGTCGGCAAGAAGATCAAATTCGGTCCGGCGCTGAACTTAGGCTGGATACCGGCCGGGACGGAAGGTGAATTCTGAAGCCAATTCACCGGAAAGTCTGGCGGTAAGCGAGTTCGAGTTCAACTGAGCCAGCCTTTATTCTCCACATTAGCGTTTTCCGCCACAATGGGAGGAAGGAGCAGTACAGTATCTGAGAGCCATGGGGTGCTGACTCGAAGTCAGGCACTTCTGGCATTTTCCAACCGCCGACGATCGTCGACGTGCGAGAAACAAGATCTGCCAGCACACACGAGCCGCGGCTGTTGTAGCGTGTCTTTTCAGCTCGCTTGTGCGCTAGGCAGAGCGCGACAAGCAGCAGTTGCAGCGGTCCCTCCATGAGCTGCAGGCGTCCATGGAGTCCAAGCCAGGCCACAGAGATGCTGCTGCTGTTGGAGCTGCCTTCTCGTGCAGAACAAGTGAGGCAGCGACGCCGACGGCAGAGCCGACTCCGAACGCAACGCCCGGTCTCCAAGCGTATTCGATGGTGAACAGCCTCAGAGACGCATTGACCCTTGGACAGGAGCTTCGGCGACATGATGCCGAGCAGGCTCGAGTTGGCTGTCAGATGAGTTGTGCATGCTCGCTTGCTTTCAGTTCTGTACTCGACGCTTTTCTGAACTACGCCTAGGTTGCCGGGATGATATCGGGAAGGGCGAAATCATTGAAGCCAAAGTTCAAGACATGTTGCCACCCAACCATGTAGATTCAATGTAGATTCTGGGCTGTAACTCCCGGAATGTGCTGGTCGTGTTGCTAGAGCAGTGACTCGCCCTGCCTCAATTCCTTGGCGCATAGATGGAGGCATATGAAGGCCACAGATGGCTGCAACAGCCCAAAAGCTTGACAAAAGCCCCACAGCAAATGAGGGCGACCCCCGGCAAAGACTTGAGGCTAAAAAGCTTTGAGGAGCTCCACCAGGAATGATGGAGCCCTTCATGGACCACATATTCATATATAGGTACAAACGGGACAATGTAGACACACACACACACACACACACACACGTATATATATATATATATATATATATACATGAACATATAAATTCCAAGATGAGTCGCGGCCACGGCAGAGGTGCTATACGCAGACATTCTGGTTTTCAGCACCCTGCGGCTACCTCTTATCGATGCCCTCCAGCAGGGTGGGGATGTTAAGGACTCGGTGCGGCGACTCCTCCAGCCCTTGTTCTCTGGTTCTCGGGTCTGTCTCGATATGTCTCGATACACGCGTCTCGCTTACTCTGCCCGTCTTGGTCACGCGAGACCTCCCCGAAGGTGCCGCGTCCTCACCCGAGCTCTCCAAAGCTGCGCAGCCTGTCGATCAAGCGCTTACCACCGCGGGGTATGTCGATGACATCGAACACTACGGCAATACGGAAGTGGGTCAGGTGACCTCCCGGCCATCCTAAACAGCAGAGCTGAAGTCTCATAAGGGTTTAATTATGAGTTCTTTACAGTTTTTGGCTGAGTACGGTTTGTTTTTAGGAGTTTCCACCGTCAGACCGCCTACCGCATGCCGGCCACTCACTGGGCCGTTCCAGGGATCTGCTGTACGACGCAGCTTCCTGTGTTGGTATCCTGACAACTCCCGCCACTGTCTGTTAACGGCCGTCTGCGGATGAGCGAGAGTATTGGTCACATGCTGCCGCCGTCCAACAGCAGCCTTCTCTTCGTGGTTCGAGGAAAGTGCTTTGTACGGCCATAGAGGTTATGCCCCACCTCCCCACCTCACTGGTAACTCGCGAGCTGCGCAGCGCAGGGCTTGCCGTCATGTCCCCTCCTCCGGCACGAAGCGTCTGCGGACGAGACTTGGGACCTGTAGATGATTGGAGGCCCTGGCCTCTTTCGTAAGCTTCTTACCTGGATTACTCTTCGGGGTAAAAACTCCGTTGAGAAACACTACGAATGCGTAATACCTATACGTTGTAATATTTAAAACAAAAATTTTTGAGAACAATATCACGCACACATGGCACACACGCACACACATACACATACACATACACATACACATACACACTAACTATATATATATATATATATACACATACATGTTTATCAATATGCAGACACAGAAAATATTGAAATGTATATCTGTATACATATACAACTATGTAATTCTACGAATGCAAGGAGAAACCTGAATATCTTTGAATGTACATGTGCGCACGCGCGCACACACAATATATATATATATATATATATGTATATATTTCTATCTATATATATATGTATATGTATGCGTGTATGTATGTATGTATGTATGTATGCATGCATTTTAGTCTGTAAGTAAGTAAGTATGTGTGTATGTATATACACATACGGCATACATACGCTTCTATATTTTTATATACACATGTATGTACACACACATATATATATATATACATTTAAACACATAGTTAGACAAATAGATAGATAGGTTATTTAGATATCCAGTGGTGCAGAGAGAGAGAGAGAGAGAGAGAGAGAGAGAGAGAGACATTTTGGCTCAAGTGTCCGCACCTTGCCTTGGGGGGCTGTAGACCCTCCTTGGTACGGGGGGGAGGCACGCGGTTGGCCTGTGGCTGTTCACCACGGGAGAGCCGTGCTGCCTTTCCCTGCGGCGCTTGAGTCCCACGCCGCAGCTCATTTTGCTTAAGAGGCCCTGAGGGTTTGCGCAACACGGGACCCCTTGACCACGGCCCTCCTCCGGGAGGTGGCCCGTCAGTAGGGGGGACCGCCATACTACATCCTCGCGGAACCCACGGCAAACTTCCTGGGGGGGATGCAGTGTCGCATCTGCCGCGAAGCGGGGGGAATATGCCAGCCGGGCATGAGGAAGGTGCACGTGAGGAGCGATCCGGCATGTCAGCTACATGGAGTTGCAAGCTTAGCCAGTGGACCTGTAGCCAGCCCAAAAGCAAAACCGAAAGCACAAGGCCATGAGGAGGGGGAGGCCAGCTCCAGACGTGCCACCAGTCTCGAACGCATGGTGCAGCATGAAACACGTGGGGGAATGCACCTCCTATTCCACCCAAGCCCGCTCGATGCATGGATCGGGCGCAACATACAGTGCGACGAGGACACCGGGGAGCTTTATGACGAGAAGGGGAAGATGCTGGGGGAGAGCGACCGGGAGGCCTACGCTAACTACAGGGGGAGACTCTCCCAACGTCGAGCTTTGGGTGCAGCCGCCGACAAGTTGGTGAAAATCACGGATGAGTATATGCCCCGGATCACCAATGAGACGCGCGCCTTCATAATGCGCTTTCCGCACCGCATCCCCAAGCTTCTCAAAGAAGCCCGCAAGGTGAAGAAGAGGAAGCAAGCGCGGGGGGGGACGGGAACAACACACCGCCGAGCCGCGAGAGGGGACCCACAACGGGAGCCCGACGGGAGGACTTCGCCAACTACAGCCAGACCGACCGAGGCAGCCAGCAGCTCGAGGGCGGAAGCAACGACCAGTGTGAAAAAGGAGGCAGCCAGCAGCTCAAAAGGGGAAGCAACGACCAGTGCGAAAAAGGAAGACAGTACCCCAGATACGCCACCAGACTGGGGGAGCGACACCAGCCAAGCAGAGGAAGACCGGGGGGCACTGGACGACCATGGTGCAGCCCCGGGGGGACACAACATGATGGACTACCACAACTACCAGGACGAGGACCCACAATGGCCGTGGGGAGCACACGGCAGACCTTCGGACCGAGAAGCTCACCAAACAAAGCCAGCGGAGCCGGCGGGGGAACCCAGTGGGAACATGGCCGACCGCAGGAGACCCGCAGAACCAGAAGGAGTGCCCAGGACAGCGGAAGGGCAAAGGAAAAGACCGCGCCAGCCTGCTGACCCACGTGCTGCCACACAGAGGGGGACAGCGACCGTCAAACTGGTGCCGAGCATGGGCTGGCAAGTGAGGGAGGTACAAGAACACATGGCCCGACGCAGAGTTGGGGGAAGCAACGCAGAGGAGTACACGGCCGACGCAGAGAGGGGAGCACGACAGCGCTGAGTACTGAACAGAAGTGAATGTGAGCGTGGCAAAAAAATTTCCGAGTTTCGCACATGTGGGGGGGGATGTTGTTTGGTTCTAGCGTTTTGGAACTTGTCTCGGCCAGCTTTGTTGTTCTGCTGAAACCTGCCCACAGTGCCTAATCCTCGTTGAGCCCGTTGCCTCAACTTTGCATTGTCTGCAAACTATCGCGATAGCTCCAGTCAACTGTCCCATATCGGTGTGAACTCTTTAAGCAGGGTGGGGGATTCTGCCTCCCAACCCTTCTCAGGTAAGCCCGCTCAACTCAGGCCCGACCTGGCCTATAATTCTAGCGTCTTTTCAACACGCCGCCTTGACTGAATTCGGGGGGAACAGAAGGCCGAAATTCACTCCGATCAACCCTCGTAGTTCCGTGGTGGTCCTTGCTTTAACATAGCGGGACAACAGATGCAAGCTTTTCCTTCGACCCCCAGAAGGCCTGTGGGTGGGGGGGGGATGCATGAGCTTCTTTTTCATGCTTTGATGCTGTTGTTGGAACGTGTGTGGTGTGGGGAGAAACACCGACAGGCCTTCCCTTTTCCTGCCTCGGCAAAACCTTTCAGCGTGTACAGCCGAGCCAACCCGGGGCGAACCCCAGGGGGGAACAAAGGACACCCCGTGAAACGCGGGAGTGCGTGCACGCACGGGGGGAGCGGCCTGGACGCTGCCGCGACCCTCACACCCGGTAGAGAGAGAGAGAGAGAGAGAGAGAGAGAGAGAGAGAGAGGTGCGACGCCGGTGGGTGCCTAGATAGTGTAAAGGGGTTGGGGATACAACAGAGCAGGCCAGCGCATCGTGCCACCCGGGGGGTTTCACACAGGACTCACAGACCAGTGCGCGCATGCGCACCGGGAACGGTGGGGGGCGTTGCTCCTCTTTGGCTGAGTGCAAGCAAGAGAGATTGACCGGGCCCGGGGGATTTCACCATCCCGTAAGCCCGGAAGAAGAAGAAGCAGAGATTGATCGGCCCCCATGCCCGGGAGAGAGAGAGAGAGAGAGAGAGAGAGAGATCGAGATCGATACCTATTTTATGGCTCAAGCCCTGAGCGGTTCGAGCCCCGAGCCCTGAGAGTAAGCAGGGGGAGCAACCCGGGCGTACATCCGAGAGAGTGACCTGTGCCCCGATAGCCCTCGCGTCCAGTTCTACAGCCTTGTTGTACTACGCGACTTCACCTTCCTCGTTGACTTCCGTGAGTACGGTGTCCTCGGAGAACACGGGGACCGGCGCCTGGCGGCGAGCGGGGGAGATCCACACCCGCTACCAGAACGAGATCGGCGCGGCGCGGGGACAGCACCCTCAACACGACCCTCCGCAAGATGACCGGAAAAGGGTGCCCCGGCAGGGTCTCTCAGCCAAGCCTCTCGCACCGACGACAGCCAGAACACGGGGGCACTCACCACCCAGGTCCAATCGCAGGAAGCCTGGTGACACCGACCCTCACCGTGGAAGCCATTGCACAAGCACTCCGGGGCGAACTGCGTGAAGGCTTTGCGCAACAACAAACCCGCCTCTCAAAGGAAATCAAAGAGGAGATCGGGGAGGCCATCACGAAGGTCAACAGGCGCATCGAGGATGTGGAGCGCGGGGTCACCAAGCAGCTGAACAAAGCCCTCACCAGCATGCAGGAGCTCTCCGCCCGCCAGGACAAGCAGGGGGTCGCCATCGTGCAAGTCGGAGCTGAGACCAAGCAGCTGGCCAACAAGATCCTCAACCTCGAGGAGAAGCTCGCCCGAATGGAGGGCCGGGGACCCCTGCAGCGCCAAGATGCCGGGGAAGCTCGTAGACCAGCCTTCATTGTTGGAGGGTGGAGCCCAGACCAGGAGGCCGCAACTACGCTAGAAAAAGCAAAAGCCGTTCTTCGCGACCTGCAAGTCGATGTGGACATGGAGAACGCGTTTGTTCCGGGGCTCCGCCGCGGATATGTGATCGTGCCCATGACCGCGAGGGCCGACGAGGACACCTACATGATGCGGGACCGCGTTCAGAAGGCTGTTGTCCGAGTTCGGAATGCAAACATCACCTTGGGCGAGAGGGAGGACGGGACGCCGTCCCGGTTGTGGATGGCAGTGTCGCAGCCACCAGAACGAAGAAAAAGGGCGCAACTTGCTGCCAAAGTTAAGCGCTTAGTCCTCGAGCAGCAGGGGTCCCACCAGTCCCTGGACGTTGAGTTTGCCACTGGCTCCGTGTGGTACGACAACCGCAAGATTTCCTCAACAGGGGGCCCAAAGCCAGAGGGGGCCACCGAAGCAGGACCAGGATGGGTCGACTTGGGGCAAATTGCAAGACTTCTGGGAGTTACCGGGGACACCATTGCAGAGGCGTGGCGGCCGCTTGCTGCGGCCCTTCGTTGACTATCCAGAGAACAGCGACGGCAGTTTCACCAACAACGGGGGGCAGCACAGCCACAGCCCACCCGCGAGCTCGTTGTGGCAACCTGGAATCTCGGGGGCCTCACCCCGTCTAAGACGTTGGAGGTTCTTTTGCCTGCGATTCGGGGATCACCACCCCTTGACAAAGTCGACATTTGGTGCTTTCAAGAAGTCGTCGTTCCCGAAGGGATCAAGTTCGACTCCACCCCGCACTGGCGACTGGTGGCTGGCAAAACAGATAAGGATTGGCGAGGCACAGCAGTGGCGTTCCGCAAAGAGTTGGGGACCCACACCCGTATAGTACCGTGACCCGAGCAGGAGTCAGCACATGTATCACCGAGAAGGGCAAGGCACTCTGTGGGGTGGTCTCCTACCACCTGCCGCACCATGCCACCGTGGACCAAGTCGGGGTCCAACTGGCGGCACTTGCCAAGCACCCGGCCATTCAGGAAAAACGGGTCTATATGGGGACAGATGCCAATGAAACGTTCACGGCCCGAGCGGGGAGCAACACCGCGGTCGCCCACACAGCACGCGGGGACCTACTGTTGGCCTGGGTCTCGGAGCACCACCTTAGGCTCCCCCCACAAAGGCTCGAGGAACCGAGCCATTTTCCATACAACACGGAACTCCGGCCGCGACGACTGGACTACATGATGATTAAGGGGACCCATTCCACAGCAGCGCACATCAGTGATTACAGGGACATCCCGGCCTCGGACCACGAGGCAATCACTCTGTGGACCACGAGCCCTCCAACGTCAACGCGACCTATAACAGTCACCCGGCTTGGGGGGCCCCCATTACGTTTCCCGCCGATGCCTGAACGTGAAGTGCATGCCATCTTGCAGCCGCACGGGGACATCTACACTGGACTCAAGGAGGCAGCTTTTGCGGTTACCATGCCAAGGCCAGGGGAACGTTTCAAAGAAAGCCCGGACCTCAAGAAGCTTCGGGCCGCGGCCCAGTGCACCCCAGCGGGGGCCACAAGACGGCAGCTTTGGAAGAAGGTCCACAGCGACCGCAAGAAGGAGCACAAGGTGTGGGCCCAAGACCTGGCAAAGCGTGCGGGAGAGCGCTCATGGTACGCCTACCGAGAGGTCAAGAACCAAGCACGGGGGAACAAACAATGGGAGGAGGCTCTCACAGACAAAGACGACTGGAGAGAACGGCTAGCCAAGCACTTCAAAGCCATCTTTGCCAAAGAGGACCCCACAACCGTTGCAGAACAGATGCGGGGCCTCACCCATGAGCTCACAAGGAAATGCAAGGCGACACCATGGCGGCCGTTCACGGAAGACGACCTGCGGGGAATCATGGCCAAGTGGCGCAACAACAAAGCCACCGGCGAGGGCCGCATTAGCCATGAAGCGGTCCGCTACATTTCCTTGACAAGGCGGGGACTCACGAGGCTACTCTGGTTCTTCAACGACGTACTGTACAAAGGGACCTTCCCGCCGGGCCTCGATGAGGGCATCGCGGTCCTCCTTCCCAAGACAAAGATGCCGGATGATTTCTCCGACACCAGGCCCATTACGCTGTCGAATATTTTGCTCAAGATCACGGCACAGCTCCTGCTTCGGAGGGGACTGCCCCTACTGCGGCCGATCGGGGCCCTCCAGTTCTGCAAAGCCGGTAGCCAATCAGTGGAACTCATTTTGGCACTGCGCCGCCTTGCTCAGCAGTCGTGGGAATGGCAAGAGAAATTCTGGATCATCAAGTTGGATGTTCGTGTCGCCTTCGACTCCATCAGCCAAATCTACCTCGGGGACCTCATCGCCAACAAGCTCGGGGACTCACTCCCATGGGAGTCGCGCACATGGCTGCAGCTTATTGGGGCCAGGGGCTTCAAAGTGGTGTTCGGGGAGACTACGGTGCCGATCTCCCAGACGAACGGCGTGCGCCAAGGATCACCCGATTCCCCCTCACTGTTTTCAGCAGGGATAGGGGAAGCCATCGACCAGGTCGTGCAAGATCTCCGGGGAGAATCCCGCCAGGGGCCAAACCCCAAGCTGCCACCAGCGCCGCATGGGATCGGGGCGTTCATGGATGACACCTATATCTGGGGGTCATGCCACCGCTGGATCCAGAAGTGCCTCGACGCAACCCAGGCACGACTTCGGCAGCGGGGACTCGAAATTAACCCCAAGAAGACGATGGTGATCTGCAGCCGCAGCGGGGCCGAAGGTTTTGTGATCGGGGACCAAACAGTACCCGCGGACCCCCCAGAGTCCACTATGCCAGTACTTGGTTCCCCGCTGACCTTCATCAACCAACCGGGGGCACTTGTTTGCGAGATGCAGCACAGAGCGCGCAGGGGATACCATGCGAACAAAAAGATCCTCACGTGCAAAGAAGCGCGGCTAGACGACCGGCTCCGGTCTTCTATCACCCTGATACGGAGCGCGGCGCTGTGGGCCTGTGAGACATGGCCAATTACATCCTTCAAGCCGCAGAGAAATTATTGGTCGCAAACGGGGGCCTCATGAGGAATGGCTCTCATGGCACCAGCGCACGCTGAGAGAAGCCCGCATGGAAGTGTACCGCAATAAATGCTGCGGGGGACGCTGGAGCTCGTTCATCCTGAGAGTGAGGTGGCAGCTGCTCGGGCATGTCGCCCGCCACCCAAGCCCCACAAGGGACATCCTCGAGTGGCGCAATCAGCGCTGGTGGAACGCACAACAGCGCCTCAGCCCAACGATCGGGGCAAGGCGCCCGCACCAGTTCAACTCCCAGCTGGATGACAAACGAAAGGTCATCAAGGCGGCGGGGACCGACTGGATGCAGCAGGCCCAAGACAGGGAACACTGGCAACGGTTGGTGGACACATTCCTAGAACAGCAGGATGTGGAGTGGGCTACAGGCAAGCAAGCCAAACTCCAAAACATCAAGCAAGCCAAGCCGCCAGCCTCCAAGAGGAAGGCACGAGCACCACGGGGGCCACTCCCGTCGGCAGCGTTGCTGGCGATTATGGGGGGGATGTGCCCGTGAGAAGCAGACCCGAAGACCGGAGCCCAAGGAGCCCCGACATGGAAACCGCACCATATATCTACTCCCCTTCTCGACTCCACTTCCTACTCCCTCTCTCCGATACAAATACGCAAGCACGTCCGAAGAGAGAGCAGATGGCACGGGAACTGACTGTGATGCAAGCCGTTTGCGTGCATGGCAGCGCTCAGCCTCGAAAAGTCAGAGCGACCACCTGTGACCTGAAAGTATGCCAGCGGCTCACTGCCTCATGCCATGGGCAGCAGCGGCCGGTTTTCTCTTGGCCTTGGCCACGACCAGGCTGGGGGACCCCAACTCGCAGCCAGCAGCGCCGCCAGGGGCACCGCTCAGTACAACGCAGGACCTGGGAGAACAAGCCTACTCAGGCATGGCAGGCCCGGGGCCAGCTACAGCGTCTTCTACCACGGTGCCCGGGACCCCACCGGCTACACGACCGACCACGACCAGCGGATGGAGGAGCGAGCACGATTTCGGGGACTCACCGACAACCCGGCAAGAACGGGAAGCTTCGCGAGAGCTACCACCACTGAAAGTGAGGGGGCCACGGTGAGCTCGGAAGGCACCGCAGGCTCAGCTACAGCAGGGCCCGCCGCCGGGAACACATTGGCCAGCCTGAAACCCCCTACATCGTCTTCTGCCACGGAGCCCGGGAGCTCCCCAACAACACGATCCTCCGGAAGCTCGCCAACTATGAGTTCAACCGAGACGGGGGAACCGAGCCCCACCGCACCAGCGAGGACTACGCCGACTACTACCACGACGCCCAGGAACGCACCACCTACACGATCCTCCGCAAGATCGCCAGAGCCTCTAAGCAGGACAGGAAGCAACTGCAAGTACCTCTACCTCAGCGCCCGAGAGCCCCTCGACGGCGCGACCGGCCGAGCAGGTACCAAGAGCAAAGCCTGATGCAGCAGAACAACTAGGACCCGCCACCACAGCCGAGACCACAGCCGAGCCCACAGCGACTACTACCACGACTCCCAGCTCTCCCTCACCTACACGATCAACCGTGAGATCACCGAAACCCCCGCTGGAGGAGAGTGCACCAACCGGCCTTAGCGAAGACGCTACTACCCCTGCAGACATGCACTCGACGGACTACCACTCCGCAGCTGCAGCTCACCAGCCAGCCACCATCTCCACCACCACCATCGAAGCACGTCGCCCACGAGCTCTCCGAGGACACCCGCAGTGTCACCAGCAGCCAGGGCAGCCGGAGCACCATCGCAACAGCAGCCCAACAAGCAGCAAGGCGACACTACGACCACCTCCACCAGCACACCCCCTACTACAAGCCCTCCTGCCCAAGAGCCACAGGCAGATTGGACCCTAGGCCGTCCCCGCTACGCGCCGCCCTACGATCCTGCAACGGACCCCTGGGACACACCATGGCCACCCCAGACACACGAACACCCTGCAACAAGCAGCACCCCTGAGGGGACCCAGCATCACGAGGCGGCGGGCCAAGCAACAACAGCAGCAGCAACCGCAGAACCGCAACAAGCGGAGACGGCAACGGAAGCAGCAGCTATGCCAATGGACTCAGACGACGATGAGCTCCCCCTCGCCCCACCAGAGGAAGACGAGGCACCAGCCACACAGGCGGCAATTTGGGCCAGCCTCTCAGGAAGCACCGAACACCACCACGGCGATAACGATCATCAACTGGAAACCTGCGGTGTACAAAGCACCTCCGCCAAGCCACCGCCCACCTACAGGGGACCTGTGGTCGCAACTAAGAGCCACGCTGGACAGACTGGACGGCGACCCGGTCCTTTCCACGGGCACCATCTCTGCCACGACAGCCATGGCCCCCCCAGCTCAGCAAGCTCACACGCAACCACAACAACAGCCACAGGATCAACCACCATTACAACAGCAAGCCCCGGAGCAGGAAGCGGCAGCGGAAGAGGAAGACGAGGCAGAGGAAGCAGAGCAAGACGCCCAGGGCGTCCCGCAGCAGCCCGGGGCCCAGCTGGCCGACCCCAACAACCTACCCAGGCGGCCCCCAGCCACCAGACCAGCTCACCGCAGGACAGCTCATAACGGGACCATGTCAGCCCGTACCCGACCGCCGAACCAGCCCAGGCAGAACGCAGACCAACCACCACCAACACAGCAAACCAGGCCACGAGGGCCGGTCATCACCGATGTCAGCAGCAGAGCGAGACGCTCAGGCAGGCCACAGCCACCACCACAGCAGCCAACACAACAGCCACAACCAGCACACCCTCGCAATGAAGCACTGCCAGCAGAGATGCAGACAGCAGCCCACAACAGCAGCACGACCAAGCGCAAGATGAGGCCACGGGAGGCGGGCCACAACTACCACCGCAGACCGACAGGACCCATGACCCAGTGCAGCGACCCATTGGACAGCCACAGCTACAGCCATCTACGGGGACCAGCCGAGAAGATCAAGCTATAGAGCAGCACGCCACAGCAACCGGGCAGCAACAACCACCAGAACCACAACCTACGCACCAACACCAGGCAGGGGCGCCTGCCGAACCACAAGCCACGACACGGCAAGGACAGAGCCAAGCGCAAGCGAACCGACGACAACCACCACCACAAGCGAAACGGACCCAGGAAGCACCACCACGGACCGATGACCGACCAAGCCCACAGTCTCCCGAGCACGCAGCAGAGACAGGGACCCATCCACCCAACGCCCAACCACAGCAGCAGGTTCCAGCGAGCCAGACCTCGAGCCGAGGGGCCCACGCACACACCATCATCCGCCGCGGCAGCCAACAAGGGGGAGCCAGGGGCGCAGAGCAGCCGCAGCCCGGCAGAGCCGAAAGGCAAAGCAAATGGCCCGGAGGCCGCGTGGAACAGAGGACCCGCAATAAGGAGCACAAATCGGCCGTACAGGCCGCTTTCCAGCAGAGAGGCTGGGTCAAACCAGAGCACCTTACGTGGAAGGAGGCGGAAAAGTGGTTGTATCCACCCGGCCAGCGCAGCAGCACAAGGCCACAGGAGGAGGACATGCACCAATTGGGCCGACCTCCTCAACCGCCACCTGCTCCCCATAGGGACCCCAAACCAACAGAGGGGGACCCACGGGGCCGCGAGAACACCTCCAGCACTACTACGTGCAAGGTGGCCCCGGGACCTGTTGACCTGGATACCGGCCAGCAGGTGGCGAAGCATCTCCAATGTGATCCCGACAGGCTTGATGAGTTCTACATTGCGGGCGGAGAGTTTGGAAGCAGTGCGAGGCAGGATCGGGTGAGGCGACATGTGGGTTACTCGTCGCTGAACTTCTTTGCTTCGATTGCTGCAGTAGTTCCTAGCATGCAGGGTCACTTTGACTGGAAGCATGCCACCAGAATTGGAGAAGCGAGTAATCCTGGTCCTTCGGGTGGAGGGTCGCGTGCAACAGCCTGCCGTAGGGCTGAGATGGAAGTAGATGATGGAGGAGATGGCGGCTTCGGCGGCCTTGCTGGCCTACTTAGGCCCATGCTGGAGACTTTGATTCGTGAACTACTTCAGGAGCTTCTTGCTGAGGGGGGGCTCAAGGGCATGATTGCTGATATGCTGGGTGGCCGGGTTCCAGCCACTTCATCGCGGGCTCCTTCGGCGGCACACTCTGCGGGTGAGGTCGTGCCGGAAGAGGGGGCTAACAAGAAGGGGCGCTGGGACAAACGTCGCGGCGATGATGATGACGAGCAGCCCAAGGGCAAGGGCAAAGGCAAGAACAACAGCGGCGAGCAGGCCAAGGGCAAGGGCAAGAACGACCTGGCCAAGGGCAATGGCAAGGACAATGGCGGCGATCAGGCCGGCAAGGGCAAGAGCAGCCATGGCGACCTGTCTAAGGGCAAGGGCAAGCACAATGGTGGCGAGCAGGCGGGCAAGGGTCTTGGTTCCAGACCGGATGCTGCCGATGGTGCTGAGTGGACAGTGGTCGGGCCCGCCAAGAAGCAGGCCGAGTGGCAGCTTCGAGGTTCTGATTGGACTGAGGCTGTCATGACTTATGATGCGCTTGTGGCTGCCTTTGGCAGCGATAGCAATGATGCTGTGAAGGGCGTGGTGCTCGCATCGGACGAGGAGTTCGACACCCTTAAGACTTTGCTGCGTGGATCCTCTAAGGCACATGGCGTGCTGCTGGTGCATCAGAATAAGGATGCCTCCCAACGGTGTCCCGGCGTGACGGGCAGCAAGCTGGGCATCAGGACGGTGGACTTCCACAGGTCCTACACCCCAGGCTTGGTCGCGCCTCAGCCTAGGGCTGCGGCGGCGGCACAGAAGTTGGAACCGAAGCAGAGCTCTGTGGTCTATGCCAGGTTCCTCCAGAAGTTTATGCCAGCCGATAAATGGAAGGAGATTGTGAAGCAGCCGCAGCGGGCCTTTCATGGGTTCCTGGCTCAGCATCGTCTTCGTGCTTTGGATAGCTGGGGCTGGCAGATTGAGCAGGTGCAGGCCACTCCTTACCAAAAGGTCTTTGGCTGCGGGCGGCTGCTCAACACTGACGTGGAGACCCTCTTGAGCCTGAGTGGGAAAAATGGTCTCTTCTTCGACGTGGCCCGTGGGTTTCCCTTGGGTCCGGTGCAAACGGAGTGGCATAGCCAGCAGGAGAGCGAAAATGCCACCGATTTCCTCAACCGGCTCCTCACGATTCCTTCCGACTTCGGGCTTATCGCGGGTGCTAAGCAGATTGGCAAGCGGCTCCGGCGGGACCCCAACCAGCCGGTCCAGAGGCACTGGGTTATCGATGGTGTTCCTCGGGATGTTAGTCCAGATGATCTTCGCACGGTGCTTCAGGCAGGTCACTTTGAGGATGTGGAGATGACGTTGCAGCGCAGGCACGGCAACTTGATGGCATATCATTTTCGTGCTAAAACTTTGCTGACGGCGGACAGCCTTGCTGTGCCGCTTCTCCTTGGGGATGTGGAGCTGGACCTGTGGGCTCGCATTGCCCCCCCGAAAAGGGGCCGGGGCACTACACAGACCATTGCGACTTCTGGTGCTTGGCGGTTGGAGGCTCCGCGCTCAAAATGGTCTACCGAGCGGGTGGCTGTGGAGCTGGATGATGAGGACGCGGATGCGTCTGCGGGTGCCCTTGTCATCAACAAGGGTGCGGATACCAGCGATGATGCCACCATGAAGGCGGGCGCTGGAACTACTGAGGAGCCTGCTCCTAAGGAGGGTGAGGTGACGGCGGCCGGGAACGAGAATGCGGAGAAGAAGGATGCTGGGAAGCGGGGCGGGTCGGCGACCGGGTCGGCTGCGAAGCGAGCTGCTGGGGTGCAGCGTGCTCTCCCCGAGGGGGCCAAGGTCACCAAGATCGAGAAGGACGGCAACTGCCTTTTCAGTGGCCTTGCAAAGGGCATCAACAACTTGAAGCCTTCCGGGCACCAGCTCACTGGAGCAGAAGTCCGGGCGAAGATTGCGGTGCATCTTCGCCGCAACGAGGATAAGTACGCTCAGGAGTGGGACAAAGAAATGCCCAATAGGTCCAAGGCCGAGAATTGGGAAGCCTACGTGAGTGCGATTGAGGTTGATCAAACTTGGGGAGGACTCCCAGAGATCCGTGCAGCGAGTCGCATATGGGACGTGAGAGTTATCATTTTCCCCACGTCCCAACACATTGAGCCCTTTCATGTCCATGGGCAGGCTCGCAAAAGGGTGCTGTCGCTGCTTTTTACAGGCAGCCACTTTGACCTCATCGAGGGTGACAATGGTTCTCTCCCGAGGGCCCTGCTGAACATTAAAGCCCCACCGCCTGCTGTCCCGATGCGGGGCGGGGGCCGGGCCTCTGATGATGGAGCTTCGGTGTGGACCAGATCGTCGGTGCGTTCCTGCTCGTCTTCCTCACGGGCGGCTTCAGTGTGGACTACTGCGTCGGGCGATGGCAAGGCCGAGGGCAGCCAGGGCCCGCATGACGATCGGAGTCGCGAGTCGGAGGGTGCATGCACGCCAGGGTCGGTCTGGACTCAGGCGACGGCTGCTGGCGCAAAGCGGCGCTGTGCTTCATCGGCTTCGGCTTCTGATGGTGGCGGCGGTGGCCCGGCGCGGATCCCTGAGGATGCGGCTTCTGGCACTGTGGCGCGGCTTGGCGGGCGGACCCCTTCCTTGGTGGCGGAGATCCCCGAGGAGCTCGAGGACGTTCCTGTGGAGGCCGGCGTCCGGGGCAACGGGGGCCAGAAGCAGTGCATGTTGAACCTTCGCCAGTACTGGGCTCGGAAAAGCACGAGGCATCCTGGGCTGCAGGCTGATGGTAGCTTCAAACTGGGTTGTGAGCTTTGTGCGAAGATCTTCCATGGGAAAGACTCCACCCAACTGGCCAAGAGGCGATACAGGCACTGCCAGTCGTGGCACCCGGATGCCGAGCGGAACTTTGGCCGCTACCCTTCTTCGGTTGTCGAGCTTCGGCCTCTTCCCAAGGACACCCAGGTGGATTGGAGATGCCCTTGCTGCCGGTATGCGGTTCCCCGTGGCGAGCTGCAAAAGGCCTCGAGCTGGGCTTTCATGAAGGCGAGGGAGGCACATCGACTTAAGGCGCATCCGGCGCTCTCGAGGTCGGCTTATGCTGCCTGTGCTCGTAACGTGCGCAAGGATTCCAAGGCCATGAAGCTCCGTGTCTTGTACCTGAATCAGGGACTGGCCAAGCGGCAGGCTAAAGGGAGCTCCTCTTCGGCAGCCGATGCCCTGGCTGGCTTTGAGAGCTTCACGTGGCCGGTGCGGCGCAGTGATAAAAAACGGCCACCCAAGTTGATGCTGCGGGCCGCCTGGCGGTGCCGAGAGTGCCGTCGTTGCTACCTTCACCTTCGTGACCTTCGCTCCCATCGATGTGATTACTACGGGCACGGAAACAAGGCTCGGGTGAAGGCGCTGCGGAAGCTGCGTCGAGAGGCCCCGAAGATGCACCATGGCATTGCCGAGGACCTCCTCAAGCGGACCTTTGACAATGCATTGCGGATGTTGCAAGGCGAGGACCAGGAGCAATGATCGGTTTCTCCACGCTTAATGTGCAAGGCGGCGGTGCTGCAAAGGTCCACTGGCTTGGGGACTTGTTCTTTGATACCGAATTCCCGATTGATGTGCTTGCGGTTCAGGAGCTCAACCTGGATTCACTCTCGGCAGCCTCCTTCGTGGCCATCCTGAAAGATCGGGGAGTGCATGTTTTTCTCAGTGCGGAGGACAACGGTGTGTATAGATGTGCCGTGCTTTCCACACATCCTGGTGTGGCGGTCGGCGTGCACAGTGGCCGACTTGCTGCAGCTTGTTTTGAGTTCCTGTGCAATGGGAGCTTCATCAAGGTGGCGTTTGCTTCTTACTACGGAGTGGTGTGGAATGCGGATGTGGCGATGCAAGGTGCCCTGGATGCGGTTGCGGAGCTCCGGGCGACGCGGGTGGCTTGGGTGCTTCTCGGCGACTACAACTTGGAGCCCTCCTTGGAGCCTCTGGCTTCGCACCTGGCTCGGGGCTTTGCGGTGCCGTGGGACCGGGACTTCGAGTCGCTGGAGCAGCTGCCGGGCACGCGAGAGTCCGGCCGTCGGCCTTGGGCTGTGGCATTTTGGTGCCTTCAGGCCTGCGGCAGCGCTGGACTTTCTCGGATCATGCTCAGGTGTGTTATGAGGTGGACCTGACTTCGCCGAGTGGATGCTGTGGCCCTACCTTCTGCGACTTGTCCAAGGAGGCGATCACTGAGGCTGCTTGGGCCTCACGATGGGATGGCGAGGCCTTCCGCCGCTTCCTCGAGGCGGACGACTTGAATGCGGCTTGGACTCAGCTTTCGGACTGTGCGGAGGATCTTCTTCGAGTTCCTGGTTCCTCGGGGCGCCGCCGCTCTTCGCTGTGGCGGCCGTGTGCTAGACTTCACCCTCGCAGCAAGGCTGGCAAGACTAAGGAGCCTCTGGTTCTTGTTCGGCTCCGTCGTTTGGAGCGGCAGTTGAGGCAGCTAGCTCATGACCCTGGGCATGGACGTCTTCGTGATAAGGCGGCCAAGTTACTTGATGACCTCCTGGATGGGTGCCCCTGGCTTGCCGAGGTTCCCTACTTCCAGATGGAGCAGTGGGCCGACTTTGTGGCTGAGCATCTGGTGCAGATGGAGGCTGCTCAGAAAGAGGCTGCCTTGGCTGCATGGCGTGTTAGCATGGAGGAGTCGGAGGGCAAGGTCATTTCTTGGATCCGGCGCCGTGAGAAACTGAAGGTGGAGCTTGATCGCCCTCGTGTGCCATCGGGCGATGTGTATGTCTCTAAGGCGGTCCATCCTGTTCGGGTGATTGCGGAGGCGGAGGACAGCTGGATGCGCCTTTGGGGCCGGAGCACGGTGACGGGTCGGGTACCGGATCTTCTTCGGCCTCTCCCTACTCTTCCTGAGGCTGCTTGGCACCCTTCCTTTACGGCGGAGGCGCTCTACAAGGCGGGCAAGCAGATGGCGACGAAGGCGGCGGGCCCGGATGGGTGGACGACCGGGCAATGGTGTCTCCTCCCTATGTCGTCCTGGGAGGCTTTGGCAGCTTTGTGGACCAAGGTGCTGGACACGGGCGTTGTGCCCGAAGTTTGGAGGCGGGGCAGAGTCGTACTGATTCCCAAGCCCACTTCGGGTCATAGACCGCTTACGGTGCTGTCGTGTGCATGGCGTGTGGGGGCAAAGCTATTGGTGGGCCAGCTTGCCGATTGGCTGGACACGTGGGCTTCCCATCGAGTTCTTGGTGGAGTTCACAGCCGCGGTGTTCGGGACAGCTTCCTTCGCATCATGGACTCACTCGACAACGACCAGCTGTACGTGCAGGAGGATTTGACCAAGTACTTCGACAGCATCCGCCACGAGGACTTGCAGGCCTCCTTGGAGAAGTTGGGCGCGCCGCAGGTCTTGTGTCGCTTGCTTCGGGACTTTTACGGCGGGCACTCTCGTGTTTTTACCCACAATGGCACTACCGGCGCTGCATGGCACAAGGTCCTTTGCGGAATTCCTCAGGGCTGCCCGCTCTCGCCGCTTTTGGCTGGGGTGGTCATGGCACTTTGGTCCCAGCACGTGGAGGATGGTGGTGCCGGCGCGGTGCAGACGGTCTCCTTTGTGGATGATCGGTTGTTTTGGTCTTCGGCTCCTGCGACGTTGGCGGCGGCGAAGATGCGGAGTTCGGCTTTCGACTCGGCCTATGGCTTCAGTTGTGATGTTTCCAAGAGCAAGTTCGTCCACCGGGCCTCCGATGCCGAGGTGCGGGCTTTGGCGGCCGACTTGGGCTACGACGAGGCGGACTGCTTGACGATCCTTGGCTTGGTCATCCCATTGGACCGTGCTGAGGTGCCGATGCTTAAGGGTTTTGACCTGGAGAAGGTGCGGAGGAGGCTGCGTCTCATTGCTGTGGCGGTGCGGAGCCCCGCTACCAAGTGCCGTTTCATGAACATGCTTGTTTTGCCGATGCTGACTTGGGCTGGTGGCTACGCGTCGGTCCCGCAGGACACCATGGAGGCGCTGATGGCGGACTTTAGGTGGTTGTTGCACAAGGACCTGGCCGCCGACTCACCGCCGGTGCTGTGCTACGAGCTTGCGGGCTGGGAGGTGCATCCTGGCTATGCTCGTGATCTTGCTGCTCTTCGGGGTGCTGCTGGACTCCACTGCCGAGTTCCTGTCTGGTTGGAGGAGGCTTCGGTGCGACTGGCTGGGCAGCGCTGGCCGGCCATGCTGCCGGTGACTCGCGAAGTTCTGGCGAACCTTGGGTGGTGGTGCGATGCGCGGGGTTCCTTCATCCTTCGGCGCGACTCCTATGGCCAGGTGCGCTCCTTCGAGGTTGGTGTGGACTCCTTCGAGACGGTGGCTGAGTGGCTTCGGGACGCTTACCGGCGACGTGGCTTGGCAAACTGTGGCCGTGTGGTGAAGGCGCTGCACAGAGAGGAGGAGCCCGACTTGGCCCAGGGTTTGGCACTGCCGGGTCCCCCGAAGGACTACTTGGCGGTCTTCGCTGGTCACCGTTGGGCTTGGCGCAGCTCGTCTGACACTTTGGAGCGGCGGTCGGCGATGGTCACTGGCTGCTCTGCTTGGTTCAAGCATAAGAAGCTGATGCATCATGCACGTGATGGGGCAGGCCCGCCCGATTGTCTCTGCTCCAAGCGGCTTCCCTCGAGGCCGCACCTGTTGTGGAACTGCCCGGCGACTCGTGACCTGGTGGCGGACGTGAGCCCTCCGGTCAACAGATTACAGGAGAGACTGCTGGCGTGTGAAGTTCCTGAGGTGCCGGGACCTCCTCTGGCTCTTGACCTCGAGGACTACATCGATGACATCGCGGAGGCTTTGGATGCTAGGCTGGCACTGGGCTCCCCGATTTATGTGGCGACGGACGGCTCCGTCGTCGACTTGGTGGCGGCGTGGGCAATTGCCCTGGACGGCGAGGTGAACTTCGCCCAACCGGTGGCCGGGGAGGACCAGAGCTCTCATCGTGCTGAGGTGGACGGCCTGATCTTCGTGGCCAAGGCCCAAGGCCTTGGGCAGGTGCAGTGCCGAGGGCGACGTGCATGTGATTGCCGACTGCCAGTCGGCTCTTACGACGGTGACGGGAGGTGGCGCTTTGCCTCTCTTGAGTTCCAGAGCTGTTGCTGCTTTTCGGGACGTGCCTCGAAGAATCAAGGTGAAGCGATGGTGGGTCCCTTCCCACGGCAAGATGGCACCGGCTGCTTGGCAACCGCCTCCTTGTGGCGAGATGGTGGCGCGGGCTTTGAATTTCAAGGCTGACCAGGCGGCGAGGGCGAAGGCACAGCATCTGGCGACAGGCAGCCTCCGTCAACGTTGTGTGCAGGCGCGAGCTGCCGCTCTGGAGTGGGAACAGAAGGCGCACCGAGCACTTCGCTCGGTTGCGCGACGATGGGCTGCGGCCTAGATCGACCTGACGGCGAAGGACGGCTATGACTTCGGCATCATGCTGTTCATCAACCAAAAAAAAAAAACAGAGGGGGACCCACCCGACAGGCCCAGGCGCGGCTAGCCATCCAAGCCCCACGGGGACCTCACAGAACGGCTCCCAGAACCCACAGGAGCCAGTTCAACAACTGAGCCCGGCCAACACCAACACCACAGCCGTCACCCACGAGGACGGCCCGCAACCACATCAACCACAACCAGCGACGATGACCACGGCATCGGGACAGACGAGCCATACGAGTACAACATGCCACCGCACCAAGCAGAGGACCCAAGGAGCAAGCAAGGGACAGCAGCCAGAGCAGCGGCGGAAGCCAGAGGGACAGTGGAGCCTACCCTTCCCACACCTGAAACAATTTGGTCTGCCTCTATCGGGGGAACGGGCGGTGGGATATGCGGGTCATCCTGACCTCGCCAGGGGGCCGCCCCTTTGTGGCACAAGGCACATACCCACAAGTCCTCCTCGACCCGACCAACACTGCTGGCCACAACCTCTACCTGCCAGAGGGCGTGTCTATGCTAGCCACACCACTCGGGGACTTCGCTAGCTGCGACCGCCAAAAGTGGGATCTGACGACCTCACTGCTCCCGAGAGCCTGGCTCATAGAGGTGGACGAGGGGCCGTCCAGGGCGCCCGGCATGGAGCAACCCCTGCCAGACAGCATCGATATCAGACGAGGAGACAGTTTCCTCATAGTCTGGGACCAAGAGGATTGGACCTTGGTCGAGAGGACAGTCGGGGACCTGTCCTTCCGAGGAGTGCTCCAGATCCCAGCCCCTATGGAAGTCCCCACCAAGTTTTATAGGAACCCGCGGGGATCCCTCCATGCCGCGGGCGTCCCCAAGGCCAGACCCCCGCTTGCACCACCGACACCCCCCGGAACGCAGTTGGCCAAGCAGCGACGGCAGCGAAAGCGGGGGCCCACCGGAGGAGGAGGACAGAACCGAGCTCCTGCAGACCACCACCCCAACAACGACCCAGGAAGCGAGTGACCACCACCACTGCAAGCAGGGACCCTAGGGGACCCCCTGAGCAAACAAGAGAAACCACAGCCACGACCACCACAGTACCACGATCACCACCTTCAACCGGGACCATACCATCACCCGGCACATCCTCCAACATGAGAGGAGAGGACCAGCAGCGGCAAGCCGGAGAGTTGACCCACGACGACCCCTAACCGACCGACGACAACACCCAACCCACCGGGGACCCGTCCTTAACTGCCCTCATGCAAACCAATTCGCAGCTGCACAGCGCGAACCGGCACGAGCCCCAGCAGGCCAGCGGGAGCAATCAGGAGCAACCACAACCACAACCGCCACAGTACCACAACATCCGCCACTTAAGGGACCTGCTCCTACCCACATGCACAGGCCCGATTACAGGAGGAGGAGTGAGTAGCACGGCTCACCAGGGTCCCACAGCTCCTGCAGAACTCCAGACCATGGCACACAGCAGCTGTCCGCCACCACGAGGGCCGGCCTGGCTTCTACCCAGCGAAGACACCCAGGAAGCCATGCTCCAAACCATCATGGCGATAGAAGCCGAAGCAGCAAGACACGAGGGGAGGACGGCCGAATGCCCCCAACCCACCACAACGCAAGCAGACAGCGAAAGCGCCACACAGCCGGCTGCTGAACACCTGCTTCACAACAACGATGCCGGCACCGACTGTCACACGGCAACAGCCAGCACAGTACCCAGCGGCCGAGCCAGCAGGAGAACAGCATCGGGGTACCCCGCGATAACAACTACCACCTCAGCGCACGCGCCTCAACAACCACCAGCTGCTGACACCCAACGCACAACGACGAGCTCCGAAAGCCCCGATGCTAAGCGACGGAAGCTTACCGAGGATGAAGCCACGGAAGCCCCCAGAGCAGTAGCAGTGCAGGACAGAGAGGCTACGCCGTATATGATACTGCGGGCTCAGCAACTGCTGCAGCTATGCCAACGCTAGTAGGGGACCAGATCCCCCTGGCAACAGAGGCGCTGCACCTGCTGCAGCAGTGGACCACAGCCTTGTGGCGGGAACCCATACAGCTGGTGCCAGAAGATATGGCCGAAACTATTCGCTGGGATCCACCTGAGCCAGCAGCTGTTCCGCACCACGACGACAGGCTTTGGAGACCAGCAGGGGACTCCACAGACGCGGAAGGGGACCGGAGAAGGCACATGACAGAGCTGCGCAACGAGGCCTTCCAGGGATGGAACGCAGCAGATATCCCCGGCACTGAAACAGAAGACGAAGCATGGGGACTTCCACGCCGCCGGCGCACAGCTGATGAAGGGGGCCCAACGTGTTCCCCGATGACCAGATCCCGCCGAAGCTTCCAACAGCGAGGTCAACTGAGTGTGGCAAGTGAGGAGAGCCTTGAAGACAGGGCCACACACCGTAGAAGGCGAATGCACGCGGCATTCGACCCGAACTAGACTGGGGAAGCCCCATGCACCGGCACTAAAAACTCTATTCGTGTGTTTATGGCAGTACTGTTGAGTACAGGCTCTTGTTGACACCTGGGAATGTGCCGCAAAAGGGGATTTTTTGGAACAACAGCTGCTACGCACACCACCACCAGCTCCCACTCACGGGGACTCCGGTACAGTTTGTGGCGTTCCCCTACTGGGGCTTTAACCTGGTACCCCTTTGTTTCCTGCCCCGACAATACCGGAGCCCCGCCACAGCACCACCACCACCACCAGTGCGGGGACCCAAGCTGTGTGTGATTTCCCCCTAGTGTGTTGAGGATGTACCCTCCCCTTACGCTGCTTCCTTCGGGGACCCACACTGACACAAGCAACATAGGATCCACCAAACCAGCACCACAACAAGCAAGAGAGCTCAAAGCAGTGTCCAGAGCTGAAGACGTTCTACATAGTCGCACTAAGGAACTTCCACTGTACTGGCATTTGCTCGACAAACAGCTCGGGGACAACGTAGTGGCTGTAGAATACCTACGAGCCCCCACCACAGATACAGGCAAGTTCGGCCAGGCGGGGGGAACAGTGCTAACTTGGGCATGTTGATTACAGGGCATACGGGGAGGCTTCTTGAACCCGACCTGGCCGCTCAAGCAAGTCTCACACCGAACTCGAACAGTGGCGTAGCGCTCGCGCGCAGGGGGTGTGGGGACCCGAGCCCCACCTCCCAAACGCCTCGCAAGCAAGCAAGCAAGATCGATACCTAAGCCCGGCAGAAAGAAAGAGAGTTCCCGGAGGCCCATACCCCTCAGCAAGCAAGCAAGCAAGATCGATAAAAGACTGAGCAACGAGAAAAGGCCTGGCGAGGGAGGTCCGTCCTTCTTCGGTTGAGGTAGCTGGTTTCTGCTTGTCATGACTGTCCTCCTTGTTACGAGCCTTACAGATGGACGGATAGATAGACAGATAGATAGAAATGTCCATGAGTATAGAAATACGTAAATACAAATACGTATGTATGCATGTACGTATGTATGTACGTATTTTTTTATTCGTTGCCACACTCAGTGAGTGTCGAATGTCGTGTGTCTGTTGAAGCTGTTATCCAGAGGTGACTGTACTTTTGGGAAGTGCACTGTGTGCAACTCCAGAATTTTTGCGCAAGCGGAAATCGTCGCGGGCCCAGGGCCACCCTTGCTCTGCCAGGAGTTGAAACGTTTGGAGTTGGCCCTGGCGGCTCAGAGCGAGGCGTCAGTGGTGACTTCATGTCACTCCTGTGGCGTGCAGTGGTAGTTCTAGGACTGATTGTGCGTCACTGTTCCGACCTTGCTCAGGCCCATGCTTTCTTTAGGTCCGGATGGTGTCGGGGTCCTAGGCTTCCCTGTCAGGCATGCCGAAGACAAGAGCAGCAACTTCGGGAGCTATCAGCACAGAAAGAGGAGATTGTTTTAAGCCAGCATCCCGAGCAAGACTGCGTCGTCTTTCTTGATGTCTCTGTAGATTGCAGACTCCCAAGTGCTGCCAGGAGCTTGCAGCACAACTCAAGCGACAGTCTGATTCCCAGGGGTGTAGCAAAAGCGCGGCAAGCAGTACGTCGGGCCCACCGACAAGTTGGACACCAAACCTCATACCTGCAACGCTAGGCCACATTTGAAAGCACACACTCCGTCTTCCCTTCTTATGCTCCCAGCAGACTGAAAACCTCATCGATCCCAAACGTCCAAGGCCAAGGGTGTGGCGCTCCACTCCCCCCCTCCTCACCCTCTCTCGCTCCACCCGCCTGCCTCACTCAATGTGCACCAGAGATCCGTGCTTGTGCTGAGGCAGGACAACAGCGCCGACGAGCTGCAGGCACACAGATGATGTTTTGCTCTTGACCTGCTTTTGGCAATCCGAAGCTTCCAAAACCGGGCATTCCGCAGACGCACCCGGTCTCACGACAGTCGACACGCAGGCAAAACTTCGAAGGATGGAGGATGAGGTTATCCAAGTCCGGGAAGTGATGGAAACTCTGACTGCAGTTCTTGTTCATGTTGGCACAAGCCGCGGAACACATCAGCTGACGTATCCTGCTTCTGGACGAGGCTACTCGTGAACGAGAAGCCGTGGAGGCCGTCCATCACGCCGTTTGCCGCACGAAGGCCGAGTTGGAGGAGCCCCTTGATTGCATGCCGACGGCAGCCTAGGCTTTATTGCTTAGCATCGGGTTCGCAGGTCGAGGTCAGTGGGACAAGACCGAGCTGAGAGTTTCCAGTTCGGGAGTTGGAATTGGGGATTGGTTGTTTGTTGCCACGAGACGTCCGAGCTTTGTGACACAAGTTGGAAGACACAGGGCTCTGGACAGGCCTGCAAGCAAACGAAAGTCCGGTTTAGCCTTTCATCCCGGGAAGACGGAGGTGGTTGGTACGGTCTGGAAGTTTAATGCCGTCGTCTAAACACTGTTTACCACTCTTGGCGGTCTCGCCCGCGATTGGCTTCAGTCCACACTCCATTGGGGTTCAAAGGTTCAGTGTGAAGAGAATTGGGCTTTTCGCCGCGCGAGACATTCCGGGACACGGCTCCTGCTGCTAGTTTTATTGTAAATTTCCAGCTTGGAATGGAATAACTTTGAATTGTGACGGCACTTGAAAGACTTGGTTACTTGTCTGAAGTGGTCTACTGGTGTGTCTGGGTGTTCTCCTGTAGGTCTCCTGCTGGTCTCTTCGGTGTCTCGTTGCGGTCGTGGTCGTCCTGGTCGTCGTGGGGGTCCACGTGGTGGTCCTCGTCGTGTTGGTCGTGGTTGTCGCCATGGTCGTTATGATGTTCTTTCTTGCTTGGATCCATGCTGGCATCGTTGCAGTAGCTGTTGACTCACAAGTTGCTTCCTTGAATATGTCTGCGCTTTTACCTACGTTGCAATTCTGGTCGCATCCAAGCACGCAGGCAAGCAACAACACACGTGAACCAGATAGTGAAGACGAAATCCTTAAAAACTCGTTTAAATCTGAGATCCCAAAGTTTGCACGGTTCCCAGGCCTCTTCGCGGCTCCGTAGAGCACTTGGAGGCCAAAGCGGATGCGGCCTTCGACCGTGTCACTCGCGCCGAGGCGGAAAGCCAGGAGCCCTCGCTTCTCAGCGGTCGGCAGTTTCGGGATGGCCTCCAAGCCTAGAGCATCTTAGAGTCTTAGAGCAATGCAAGACATGTCAATGTTTGTGCATTTGCGCCAGCTAAGAGGTTGAGTAGATTTTGAGCCCGTGTTTGGATCACCTTGCCACGCAGTCCTCGTCTGCTGTCGCTGGGCCAGACCGGCTGTTTTGCCGGCTGCAAGTACGTCATAAGCGCAATTAGCACTCCTCACCGCCTACTGAAGGAACAAGGCTTACATATCTTTCAGCGATCCACATCGGAACCGTAGTTTTCATGTGCGCTTGGACTCGCTGGTCCAGCCTTCCAGGACTTGGCGGAATGCATGAGGCAGATTTCTGGAGAGCTCGCAAAGTTGCATCTGGACCTTGACGGTTCACAGTCCCTTATCGGCAACTCGCCGCAGGTGTTCAGAGACGGATCCCGTAGCCCAGCCAAGGCAGGCGCTCGAAGAATCCAACCGCCGGGCTGGGGAGGCGACAGCAGCCGCTGCAGCAGCCGTCGCGGAGCGCGACGCCAGGCATACTGGCTGTAGCAGCGAATGATGACAGCAACGCTGGTAGCCCCATATGCCATACTGCTATGTCCCATGCCATGCTCGTTCGACATGTACGGTTTTCCGTCTGTCTGTCCTGGTGCCACCGTATGCGGTTTGGCTGTCCCTGTGTCAGTGTGTGTATGCGAGTGTGTGTGTGTGTGTGTGCGAACGGCAAGGCTGTCCAAAGCACAGAGCCAGCAGAAAGAGTCGGAGAATCGCCCCTGAGCTTGATGAATGGATCCTACAATTGCTACCACCCGCGTTACTGTCCAGTGTGTCAGACGTAACTTCTGCGGCAGTCAGCCGAGGCTTGGAATTTCTTTCAGGCTCACAGGGAATACCTGACACAGGGCTAGCTGCCGTCGCTTCGTGGTCTCGGCCAGATGAATTAAGATGCCAGGCGGAGAGGTTTCCCTAGATTCCAATGGTCGTCATGCTCAACGGAAGCTGCGGTGATTTGCTGATCTTTTGACCTTTTCCGAGACACCGGGTTGCGTGCAGACTGCATGTAGGCGAGATAATCAAGCTGAAGCTTGTCTCTTGGACAGCACTAAGACAGAGGTCCGGGGTCCTGTTTTTCCGACCGCAGTCATGCGGATAGGTCGCATCGCAAGTGTGGCCACCAAGGAAAATGCAACGCTGCACAGGGACTTGGCACAACAGTCTGCAGCTGCCTGCTTGCGATTCATTCTATCTGCGCTTTGCGTGGGGGTGCTGGAACTATGGCCGTATGCAGCAAGAGACGCACGAGAGCAACATATTCGTCGTTCTGATAATGTGCCGCAGTCAGAATTCACGGAAAGGTAGGCAATGATCAGGAGATTTCCCGGCTGGAGCAGGAAGGTCGCGGCTTCCAGCACGAGGTTCATCGAGGGTCTGTCAGCAGTCGGAGGTCGACCCCCGCGGGCTGCTGTGCACCTGTCTTTGCAGGCAGCCAGGAGCTCCAAGCAAGCGGAGACATTGTTCCTTTGAAGCAATGGGCAATGTGAGTATCTTCTTCGCCTGTTTGCAGTGCTTGGGCAAACATAAGGCGCGGGGAACTTGCTAGCCAGCTCGCACAGCAACTCGGATCGGCAATTTGACGATTGATGGTGTTGTCGCCGGAAGCTTACATCCCGGAGTAGTAGTAGTAGTAGTAGTAGTAGTAGTAGTAGTAGTAGTAGTAGTAGTAGTAGTAGTAGTAGTAGTAGTAGTTCCAGTTCTAGTACTCGTACTAGTTCTAGTACTCGTACTAATACTACTGTAGTACTAGTACCAGTACTTGTACTAACCAGTAGTAGTCGTCGTCAAAAGCAGGAGTAGTAGCAGTAGCGGGTCGTCGTCAAGCGTGCATGGCGAAATCGCTATGTTCCGCGTCGCGGCTGCCAGACAACTGAGAGAGAGAGAGAGAGAGAGAGAGAGAGTGGGTCGTCGTCGCAAGAGTGTTCCAAAGCTGAGGTTGCAAACAGTGCAGCGAGAAGCCGAGGACGGCTCCCAACCCTCTTTTTAGGATGTGCAGAAAAGGTGACTTTGATTCAATTCCAGCGTTCCTTGAATCGAAGGATCTGGCACGAGAGCTGGAGCTGCGGAGCGGCTCAGATACAACACTCGGGGCTTTTCGCCGATTCTTCACTTGCAGATGATGGGATTCTCAGTCGTGACACCGTTCCAGTTGGCGTTGAGATCTCGGAGCACTGTTCAAGTTTCTCAGATTGAGGTAGGGGGGAGGGGGTCGAAGCTTCATAGTGGCCCAAATGCATGCTGCATTTCATCTTCAGCTCGGTAGCACGCCGAGCAAGGCCTGCCAGAGCGGCGTTTCGATGCACTGGACGGTGAAGTGCAGAGGCTCGACGGGCGCCTGTCACCTGGCTTCAGCAGATCAACTTTTAAGGAAGGCTTGGGCAGTCTGGAGCGACGAAGGGTCGCGCAAGCGGTGGCAATGTATGTCGACTCATGCTACGATGAAGAAGCACTGAAGCCTATCTTTTTGATCAGAAGGAACCTTTCACATTGAGGCTTCGTTTCGTCTTGTTATGCAGGCGGACTGACGAGAGGGATGGTCGACCCATGTTTTAGTGAGACATTGTGTTGGACAGTGAGTTGCCGGTGGCTTATCGCATCTTTTGCGCGAGCCGTGGAGCCTGGCATGACATGCAGTCTCTTCCCATAGAATTTCAGGGCTCAGCATTGAGACCTCAGCCGGAGAGCTGCGGTTGTACCGCTCGAAGAGCACACCTCGCAACGAAGTCTTGACAGATGCTGACGGTTTGCTGCCCTGCGCCGAAGCCCGTCTTTAGCAGCATGCAGTTCCGACCGCAACGAGACTGATCAGAGAAGACGGGGCGCTGGTTTGGGTGGAATGTGGCAAGAGTCAGCCAACTCGGTACGCTGAAATCGCAGGCTGACGATACTGCTGGGCCAAGGGCTGCGACAGCCCGCGTAGCTGCTGTGTTGACGAGGTTGCGTCTTCTAACGTGGAAGAGAGAGAGTCAGACTTGTCGGATCGCAAACTCTGCGATGCGATGGATCTCAATCTTGCTGCCCTCCTGACCAAGGCAGCAGATGACGCTTCAGTTCTTGCAGCATGGCCCGAGTAGAATCGTTGGGTGTTCAGTTCGCAAAGTCGTGCTTTCAGTCTTGGTTTCCGCTTGGTTTAGTCGACAGTTTTTTCCCAAAGACTTTGGTCGCAAGCATCTGGTGATTGTCTACCGGCTGCGCCCAAGGTCTTCTGCTACAACCTCCGTGGCTCGGTGTGATTGCATCCACTTTCATTTTTTGTCTGTGCTCAGAAGATGTAGACTGCAAGCAGATTGCCAGTTCGTAGTGTGGCCACTGAACAGGTGTCGTCCTGTGTGCGGGCCTTTTCGCCTGTTGTGTAGATTCCAGCATTCCCATCTCCAGATCTTTTTTTTCTTTCTGTGAGTCCTTGCCCTTTATTTGGTCCACATCCTGAACCCTGAGTTGCATCTGTGCAGGACGACTTGCCACGCGGAGCCTCGAGACTGGCACAAACCGAGCCGCAGGTTCCGCTGCGATAGTTTCCGAGAAGTCAGTTCAATGACGACATGCGTAGCTGTGGATCAGGTGCCCGAGACAGATCCCAGGGAGCTGCATCAGCTCCAGAAGGAGCTGGGCACTGTGACCGGCGAGCTGGGTGCCTCACGGGCTCGTTTGGAGGCTGCCGTGGCAGAGAAGCAGGTCCTCGAAGCCCGGCTGGCGGAAGCGTTGCAGGATGTAGAAGAGGCCCGGAAGCAGCGTGAGGAGAAGGGCTGGGAGGCAGCGGAAGCTGCAGCTTCGTCCAATCGGGAGATGGCAAGGCAACGATCCGAGAGCGACGAAAAGTACCGTCTTCTGGAGAAGGAGCATTCTTCCGTGAGGGACAAGCTGCAAAGTGCGCTGTCCGAACTGGCGCAGGAGGAGAGTCAGAAGAAGGTGCTGGAACTGCAGGTTGAGACGAAGAGCCAGCAGCTATCAGATTTGGAGGCGCGCCACGAACGCGAGCTTGCGGCGCAGGCAGAGAAACTAACAGTTTTAGATGA